CACAGGGAATGCCAGGATTGCATTTCCTCCCTCCACCTAGAGACTGCACAGTGTCATATCATGAATAAAAGACAAAATTCATCCCATCCTTGCCAGCACAGTGAGAAACAGATCTTAATTAACCACATCTCTAAAGAGAAATGGCAGAGAAACTGTCCTTTATGGGCATTTATCCAAACTAATCATCATGTGCACTTCTTTGTGTCTGGATGTCCCTTCTATAGCTCTGCTTCATTTTGAGCTTGACCTAAACCAGTACTACCCAAAACCACTTCAATCTGCTTTATTTCCTTAATTTGAACTTGGGTTATTCTTGAGTCTAAACTGAACAGATTTGGGGTTTTTTTTTAGAGATTATAGTTTAAGGAAGTCTTTTCAATGAGAAAACACAGATGGCARGAAAATAAATTCCTATACCATGAATTTCACAGGAAAATAGAAATAATGGGAGGATGGAATTGCTGTAGAYGTCTGCAGAGGCTTCCTGGGGCCCACAGATGTGAGTGGCAGCAGTACATTTGGGCAGAATTCATTCATTTTTGKCCACAATTAGCTGTGCTGCTGATCACTTACACAAGTGTGACAAATGAACAGCCATAAAAAAATCCATTCAGATTTCCCCACTCTCATGCAGTTACGCACCAATTGCACAAATTCATCAGAAGCAGCAATTATTTYTTCACAGGGTTTGAATGCATGTGTTAAGAGTAAAAAAAAAGAAAAGAAAATATATTTTTTTTTTCTAATTGCAGGCTTTGGGAAAAAAAAAAACCCTCAAAAAGCTAATATATATAACTAGTGGATTAGAACTTCCCAACCAGTTTCCTTCATCTGTGATGTCAAAAATGTGTATGACCTGGGAAACAGTGGCTGTTTGGCAATGTGCTCATGATTTGGCCTTTATTTTAGAATCAAAACTCAGAGAGATAATAGATAAAAAGATAAAATATCAAACCTAGCAACTGTATTCTCAGAAGGAAAGGAACAAGCATGAGATTGTTCTGTCAATACTAAAGAATTCATTTAATCATGCCAGCTAAACAATGGAAAAGTAGAAAGCGCTCCCGGGTAAATGAGAAACAATTTTGCCCTTCCAGCAGGGAATTCTAAAACAACACAGAGGCTCTACAGCATTTGCACAACTGTCCCAAGGCCACTCCCTGCACTGATGGACAGCAGCTTCCACTGCTATCASTGGGAATGCCCAGGCTGCAGAACAGACATGGAAATGAATATGGGCACGGGAAATAAWATGCCATTCCAWGGGTTTKTTTCCCCTTCAATCAAAGACAAACRCACTSCTGTCCAAACACTGACTTTGTTGCTTTCCTTACAGATATTATATTTGGAAAATATTTGATTATCCTGTCAAGAATGTTAAAGTATAAACAGATGTGCAGAGTGGAAAGAGAGTAAAAGTAGAAAAACAAAACAAAAAAAAAGGCGATTTTCAGGGATATAAATGATTTTGCTTCAGCAGCAGAAGGGTCATGAATATGAATGGTGCTGGATTCCAGAGAAACCATTTGTCATTATTAAAATTAGTGCTTTGTCAACACAAACATCTCCCTCCCAGCTTYCTTTTAGCACTGCCCASAAACAGCTGCATTATCAGCCCCASYRTTCCGGGATTCATTCCCAGGGRAYGGGGCTGTGGCTCAGGAGGCCCAARCCAATCTGGAATCCCTAATGGGAGCTGCTCAGGAAAGGGCTGAGACACCCCAAAGCCAAAGGGGCATTGCTGCTGCCAGCCTGGCACGGAGCTGCTGGGCATTAGCCAGGAAAGCCTGCCAGGTTAGCACTCCTCACCCTGCCAGGCTGGCACTCCTCACCCTGCCAGGCCAGGCTGGCATTCCTCACTCTCCCAGGTTGGCATTCCTCACCCTGCCAGGCTGACACTCCTCACTCTCCCAGGGTGGCATTCCTCACCCTGCCAGGCCTTTGGCACACCCACTAATCCCAGAGGCTGCCAGGCAGCTCCTGCCATAGGACTGTGCCTGGAGTGGCCGCACAGCGTTTGCTGAGCACCACGGAAAAACCATGCAAGAGCAAAATTCCTTTTTGTGGGAAACGGGCATGTGAGAGGAGCTGAGCACTAAAATCACTGCCCCATTCCTACAGGAACACCAGGGATTGCCCAACATCTCTGTGTGCACGAGGCCAATCTATACCCCCTGCATTAATTCCCCTGATTTAAGATGTGTAAAAGGCAAGGAGAAACGTTGCTAAAGACAGCAAACAACAACTTCCTCTCAGAGGAGCAGAATTCCCACATGAGACCCATCTCTGGCTCCTGGGCTTTCCAACAATGGGTCAGGGCCAAGCAACCAGCAGGAGGAAAGGACCTAAAAGTGAGCATTGACCCTTTTTTTAATTATAGAAGGACTGAGGGGTAAAGTGGAACATATTTACAGCAAAGTTTTGCAATGGATTTTTTCATTGCAAGTGCTTGATCTGTGGACTGGGAGAGTTTTAGGTATCAAAAGAAAGGAATCAGCCGATATTTTATTCCCCACATGGGACTGCCACCCTTGAGACTGTGCTGCACTTCAGCTGTGCCCTCTAGAGGGTGGTAGCCAATCTTTGTCCAAAAGCAAATGCTTTTAGCTACTGCTGAGCTAAGTTTGGCAATTAGGGGAGAAATAAACCTCTTTATTCTGCGTTAAYAGGGCAGTGCATCCAGCACAAGGACACAAATTCAGAGTACAGAATGCTCTTTCAAGGCACTGGTTTATATTTCAATTTTGGGGTTTTTTTGAGAAGCCCTTTGTTCTCTGCCAGCTACTGTAGGTTTCATTTCCTATATAGCACATAACATTACATATAGAGAAAACACTGTACATCTAAAGTGTGAATCACATAAGTGATGCTAAAACCAGAATTCCCCTGGTCTGAGCACACTGCTGGGCCATTGCATTTTCCATGGATAGGTGCATCCACATGAAAAGCAACTCATGTGTCCATCCATGCCCTAAACATGAACAGTTAAAAACCATCTCCTTTTGTCTCAAGTGATTTGGAGGAAAAAGGCAACCAATTAAATACATTTTTTTATTCCATGAATAATGCATCGTGTCTGGGGGGGTTTCAATTCCAAACAGACCAACARAACAAGAGAAGTCAAAAGATAGAGGCAAGATCTTTTGATGCCATAAAGAGTGATTAATTGTATCTTTTAAATTGGTTTGCAGCCTATTGAAACTCCTAAATCAGCTAATACTCATCTCCTACAAGTACATTTTCACATTAAAAACAATCTCATCCATTTTCAAGTGTAAACAAAGCACAAAGAGCACACAGATTTACGTGCACACTTCATTTGCTGCAATAATATTAAATGTCATTGGCAGACCCTTTAGCACTTGGCAAACAAACGCTCCAGAGACGAGGTGATATTCTCCATCAACATCTCCTACAAGTGTTTTCCTTTCCAGCACTTGAAAACAGTTTGCACSAAGAACTTTTCACATTTACAGGAGCTGAAGTAGTTGAAACCAGGAAGGATCTGTTTGTGTTGACTGTTTTTTTGTGAGAAGAGGATGATTTATTACCTTCCTTATAAGTTTCTGGGGTAGGATATACAGACATACACCAAGTTTAGGGTAAGTTTAAATCTCACTCTGTTTTATATCAAATACTTGGGGTCATAAAATGCACAGGCATGGGAATCCACCAAATCAATCCACAGGGAAAAAGAACTTGAACAGTTTTCAATCTCTGCTTAGCAGAAGTCAGAGCAGAAGGGAAGAATAAATAACCTTTAGTGGCATAGAGAGCACAGAGTGCAACCCCACTGCAGAAGGGCCATGAGGGACACTCCTCCTAAGCTCCATTGAGAACTAAAAGCCTTATTAATAATTTAACAAACTAATGGATGTGCCTTCAAACATGGGGGCTGATGTCTAAACAGGCATCACCATGGCACAGCAACAGGGTGAGAGTGAGAAACTGTGGCTTTTTATCCCCTGGTGTGCCAGGGACAACATGGCAGGAACCTGCTGGGGGGAAAGATCCAGCTCCAGGTGGGTCAGTGCTGAAAACCTTCCTGAAATAACAACCTTCCATGGATAGCAACTTTCCATGCACAACAAACTCCCCAGGATAACAACTTTCTCAGGATAACAACCTTCCTGAGATAACAACCTTCCCAGGATAACAACCTCTCTGAGATAACAACCTCCATGAGCACAGCTCCAGCACATCTAACCACAAGCCAGTCTCCAAAGAGCTGCTAAACACAGACTCCCCACACCTGGGCTGTACTCAAACCACATCCACCTGCTCTCCACACACATTAAATCAATTAATTCCAAATCAAAAAACTCAAAATTCACTGACCTCAGCACGACTCCTGGAGCAGCTCTCAAAGGAGAAAAGTGCACATGTTGTCCCACAGTCACAGCTTTCCTCCCTGCACAGCCCTTTATCACCTCCTCCCCATTCCTCATCATCCTGAACAAGCCTCACCTGGACACAATTTCTGAGCTGGCAATCAGSTGTCTCTGTTTATAGTAATCTTTTCAAAAAGGGTGTTTCAGCCCCCCACATCTGTATTGTTTCCACYCTGTGCTCTAATTCCACCCTCAGCCCAAAGCCCTGACTAAAACAGCCCAGGGACAACACTCAGCTCCATGGCACCTTCATAAAAGTAAACAATCACAATTGACAACTAAAACAGTCACAAAACTGTGTTTAATCACCTCGTGGAAAGAAAAAACTGGGAAATGGATCTCTCATAAACTCTCTTTATTCCTGTGAAATAAATGATAAGATTTACAAAGCAGTGGCCACGTGAAGGCTGATAAAAAGACAGAAGTTGTACCAGCTTTAAGGAGAATARAAAGACAGAGATATTTAGCTGAGATACCATCAGTTACAAAGCCTGGGAGCTTTTCTGTGTCAGAACTCCTTTCTCAGTGCTGTTGAGAGCAAAGCAGGCAGAACCAGAGGGACAGAGCACATTTTGGTTGCCATGGCTGACAGGTTCCTGTTGTCCCCAGATCAGCATCTTCATGACCCAYYTGTCCAACTATGGCAACGACCGCCTGGGGCTCTACACCTTTGCCAACCTCGCCAGCTTTGTCAAGGGTGCCACCAACCTGAACCTGCAGACCCTGCCCCCCGTGCAGCTGGCTCACAAATACTTCGAGCTCTTCCCCGAGCAGACAGACCCTCTCTGGCAGGTAAAGGCACCACCCTCTTCCTCCTCCAGCTGCAATCTGCTCGTTATAAACATCTATTCCTCCAAAAAGCCTTTGTTCAGAATGGGAATGTGATCCTGACGCTGTAATTTCCCAGCCATGGTTAYCCATACCTGGCTCTTCTCTTATTCTGCAATGAGCCCCATAAATCCAGGCTGGCACCGTGGACACCTGTGCACTTATTTCTGGTTTACACTGCCAAAAAGGTGCAGAAAATTTCCCCTATTATTTTTGGCCCACCTACAAGGGAAGTATAAACCCCTAACATTTCCACTGAGCTGCAGCAATTCCCATCAGTTAATGATTTTCTCCACATTTTGTTCATTTTATTCACTGTTACCAGTCACCACCATGCAAAAGCAGCACCTGGATGATAACTGCTTTAAAAGCCAGTCCCAGCCTCTTCYGTGAGGCCTTTTGTTCACAGGGGTTTATTTTGCATTCATAGGTGGTAGAGAGATAAGGAGATGAATAATATCCCACTTTTSTATTTTGTCCTTCCCTTTTGCATTCTCACGTAAATTAAAATTGGCATTAAGCCCCTGCATCTGAAAATGTTCTGACAGCTTGGAAAGTAATGCCCCGAAGCTATTCAGAGGTTCTATTTTAACCTCAAATGAAAACGTGATTAAATCAATGTTTTCATCTTTTTTTCCCCCTTTCTTTTCCTTTWCTTTAATGACTGAACCTAAACCTCAGTCACTCAAATCCATTATGCTCACACTGTGGGGTTTTAGTACTCAGTGTAAGGCTCTGGCATTAGTGCATAACATTTAGACCCTGTGAAGGTTTAGGATCCCCTCAGTGTGATGTGCACAATCCCCTTTTCTCCTTCAGAACCCGTGTGATGACAAGAGACACAGGGATATTTGGTCCAGAGATAAAACTTGTGACCACCTACCCAAATTCCTGGTGATAGGACCCCAGAAAACAGGTAAGAARCACAAGCAGAGATTTTCAAAAGTTTCTACAAAGTCAAAGGTGCTTTTTTCCCCTATTTCCTAATGGCATCTCTTTCTGTTGTAGGAACAACAGCCCTTTATTTATTCCTTCTGATGCATCCTTCCATCATCAGCAATCTCCCCAGCCCAAAAACTTTTGAGGAAGTTCAATTCTTCAATGGCAACAACTACCACAAGGGAATTGACTGGTAAGAAGAATGACAAAAAYGAGGTGTTGGTTATTAATCCAGGGAAAATCTCAATGGAACAATTCCAGGAGTGGGTGTGACATTGCTGTAATTACTGGATGAATTTGTTATGCTTGGAATTAYCAGACAGAAGGGGAATCTAATTGGTAATGATGGGGCATTTAATCAAGTCCCTAATTTTGTTTAGATGTTGCAGTAAGAATTTTCTGAGTTTTCACACAAATGATTGCAAGAGGCAGCTCTGTCATGATTTGTCTCCATGCTGAATAACATCTCTGTCTTGTCATAGCTGTATCAGCACTGACTTACACTCTGCTCCTTCCAAAGTGGCTTTTCATGAAGTGAGGTTTGATTCATCTCTTCACAAGAATCCATCCCAGCAATTTTAAATGGAAAAGACCACTCCAAGCCAAAATTCAAATCTTGCATTCTCAAAGCATCCAAAAGCAAAGATTTGTCAGTTCCAAAATGAAGTACTTCAACAATGTTAAAATTAAACAGTTTGACATTTAAGTGTTGACATTAAATGTTGACATTTTGAAGCTTTCCCCATTTTTTTTTCTGCAGCTAAAACTGAATTCACTCCAAAGTGGTGAAAGATATCCCTTTGACACTGAAGTTATTAGCAAAAATCCCATCCATCACAGGAAAACCTAATTACCAGGCTTCATGAGGGCTTTAGCTATTACCAGCACCACCTAAGAGCCAAGATGCACTCCCATTATGCCAGTCTGGGCTGAGCAGAGAAATTCAATCTTGCTTCTTGAGAATGATGTCTGAAAATTCACCTTTTCACCCACGGCAAAATGGGAAGCACGGGGACGTGACCCTTTTGTGCTGCCGCTGATTCTAACAAGTCTCTTCCCCTCCCAGGTACATGGATTTCTTCCCCACTCCTTCCAACATCACCACTGACYTCCTCTTTGAGAAAAGTGCCAACTATTTCCATTCRGAGGAAGCTCCCAAGAGAGCTGCTTCCCTCATCCCCAAGGCCAAGATCATCACCATCCTCATCGACCCGTCCGACCGGGCCTATTCCTGGTACCAGGTAGGACCTCCCAGGGCAGGGCAGGGGATCATGGCCAGCACCAGTGGCAATTGGTGTCCTTGGGGCAGAAATGGCATTTACTGCACAGCATTTGTGCCCTGTGGAAGCAGAAGGGTGCTGAATGCTTTGGCAGGTGGCACAGAAATGGTGAAACCTGCCAGCACAGGGCTGCCAGCAACTGTAAACAAACAGTTCAGTCTCAAATCCAGCTGTCAGGGCAGAGAGGGAGCCGTGCTCCTCACCCAGGGTGAGACACGGGAGAAGGAGCATGGCCCAGCCAGGAGATCAGAGCTCTTGGTGCTGAAGATCTGGCACCAAACCCCTTTTCCAGCATATGAGCTCAGCAATGTGCAGCAGTGCACAGACCCTGCATCTCCTGAAGCTTCCAAGGAGTTAAAAACACCCGTGTCTGGACATGCTGGCTTGYTTCTCCCAAAAACAAACAAAAGCAAGCCTGTTGTTTTCTCCAGGAAACTCCAGGGTGCTCTTCCTGGCCTTTTACTGAGCTCATAACCTTCTGTAGCAAAATCCTCCTTATTTAAAACCCCTATTTTTAGAGAAATGTATAAGCTTTCTGGTGAAATCTGGCACAGGCAAACACAGAAAGGAAACACTAAACGCAGTGCTAAAATAGACACAAATTAATAATGTTGGCATAAGCACGAAATACCCCGCTTCTGATACTGCCAGCAAGTTCTGCAAGGAATAAAACCCGAACAGGGGCTGCAGGTTGCACCCTTGAAATATCTCCTTGGCACTTTTACAGATGTCACAGCAGAGGAGCAAAACTGGCACTCAAGGGGTGTGAGGAGCGAATGCTGTGACCGAACGCTGTGACAGAATGCTGTCCCCTCCCTGCCCCCCAGCCCTCTCCCACCTGGCAGAGGTGGCACTGAGGGCTGCCAGCTCTTGGAGTATTTAAGTACTTATCTGCAGCACCTTGTGAAATGCATTCCAATGTCCCCCCAGCACCAGCGCTCCCACGAGGACCCCGCTGCCCTGAGGTTCAATTTCTACGAGGTGATCACGGGCAGCCCCCGGGCACCCGCSGAGATCCGGGCGCTGCAGAGGAGGTGCCTGAGCCCCGGCTGGTACGCGCTGCACATCGAGAGGTGGCTGGCACACTTCCCTGCCTCCCAGGTAATGCCAGCTGCTGTCCCACCCGGCTCACACAATCCTGGGAAACACCAAAGGAGTCCCCAAGGCCCCCAGAAACAGCAGCTGCAGCATGAGATGGTGTGGGAAGGTCTGACAAATTCGTTTAGAAAATGCCAGGGCTGTTTCTAAAAWGAAATTTCCTCCTGCATCCTACTCGGTCCCTTTTGTGGCAAGCTTCACATTTATTTGATCCTGATGTGGAATTGGCTCTCCTCAGGTTTAGAGCATAAATTCCCTCTTTTGCCCCCTCTTCCTTCAAATATTCTRTTGAATTGTCTTTYATAACCTTTCCCATKAAAAATTTACCTAAACACATAGAAYKAAAGAACGTTTCAATTTTTAAAATAATAATAATAAAACAACCTAAAGCAAACATTTTAGTACTACAAAGTACATGCCTGGGCACTCTATCCAAGGACATGATCATTTGTCAGTTCATTTGTACCTCCCGTGAGAAAAGGTTGTACAGGTCTGTTTAATGAGTGAGCAAATGAGCAAGGATCCCCAGTGACTGCTCTGTGTGGGACAGAATTTAGCTGCAGGGAGGCAGAGCTGAGTGTTGCCTTCTTTGTCAGGGACTTGGGGAAAAAAAGGCAACAAAAAGAGCTAGAAGCTCTGTCTCCTTGCAGTCCCCATTTTCCCTTTTATACAGAATACTGCAGAGAGGAGAAGCAGGTCAATCCCATTTCCAGGAGAAAGGAGAAAATCTCAGTTAGCCATTTACTCCCTTCTCTCAYCTCTGGCCTTTCCACTCTTTCAGAAATGGGGATGGAGCCCTGTCCAGAGCTGCTGAGGGCAGCATTGCCCCGGGGGCACACAGGCCACACTTCCTCATGGCTCTTCCCAACTCATTCCTCCAAAGGGTGAGGAGAGCCTGGCAAATTCTGAGTGTGCAAAGGGTGCTGAGCATCCCATGGCCTGTTCCCTGTTCTCTGCCCTCAGCTGGGACTGCTGCCCTCTTTCCTAAATGTTCCTCACAGACACATCATCAACCTCCACAATATTTTACATTCTTCCCTTATCTCTTTTCCTCAACATTCTGACACTCAGGTTTGTCTCGGGAGGTTTGACTCCTGCATTTGAACAAGGTGCACACACTGAGTTAGAAGGTGCCCACCTATGCAAATTCAAATCAATGAAGTAAAAAGTAAACCTAAAAAGGAGTTCATCCATATGCATGTTATTAGCCCTGTACAAAGTCACGTGCTAATTTAAAYCCAGGTTGCCACAGAGGTGCAATAATGCCATCATTTTGTTCACCTTAGTCCTGTTTCCAAATAAGTGCCATATCTACCCCTGCAGTTGCTCATCATCGATGGACAGCAGCTGAGAAGTGACCCTGCTACTGTGATGGATGAAGTGCAGAAGTTTCTGGGAGTCTCTCCTCATTACAATTACTCTGAAGCCCTAACGTGAGTCTGTTCCCTTTTTCTCTGCCCTGTGGGATCACAGGGTACATTCCCTCCCATCCCTTGATTATTCATTACAGACAACACATCAGTTATAACTCTGAACATCTTGGGGTTTTCTTCCTTCAGTCTCCAGGAGCTGAAGCCAATGAGTGTCAGGTGTGGGAAGTTCAGCTTAGGTGTTTTTGTCATTGAGATAGAAGCCTGATGGCAGGGTTTGGTTAGAAGCACTCATTCCCTAATCCCATTTTCCTGGCTGGATTTCCATGTATGCTTGAGACTCCTGCAGGGGTGGGAGTGGCCTGGATTCCCCTCTCCCCTCTCAGTCGGCAGCAAATTGTAAAAAGCTTTTGCACTGAGCCTCACTGGGTGAGGAGCATCATCCCCTCACAGCCCCAGCCCTGGGATATCCGTGGGCTTTTCCAAAGCCCTGTGCAAGCAGAGAGCAGAGCCAGCACACGGAGTGGGAGGTAGAAAAGCCCCTGCTTCACCTTTCCTGCGGGCTGCTCCCCAGGGAAAACAAGCACGGACTTTACAGCTGCCCCCACTGCTCCTCTCTGCTTCCAATTGCCATTTAATGTTTCCTCTCCTGGCAGGCTTCAGCTTATTTATAGCACAGGTTCAAAGTAAGGCTTTGGTGCTTAAAAGAGTTCTTTTGCCAAAACCTTTTCCTAGTGGAAGAATTTTGGATTTCAGAATGCGATTTTTTAAGTCACTGCTTTCCAAAAGGAGGAGTTTGATCCAGAGCTGAGCTACTGATGTTTGAACAACTCACAAGAGCACATCTGCAGTGCCTTCTGCTGGGTTTTTAAAACACACACCCACAGACATACATCTTCCTTTCTGGAGCTAAATTAAAGTCGGTGGAGTCTCACAGCAGGAAGAAATTTGGCCTCTCATACTGGTTTGGACAGGAAAAATGGATGGTAAACAGATCCATAAAATTATGCACTCCCTGTTTAGAGACATCAAGAATGCAAATGTGCTSTGGAAGCACACACTTCTGCACGGGKTTGGGGTGGAAGGGAAAAATGCTTTAAATTATGTGGTGATTTCTGGCAGGACTTGTCAAAGGGGAAAAGATTGCACAGGATTGCTCCCAGCCATTGCTGCCCTGCAATGCACAGCACACACTGTTAACAGGGCCAGGAAGCAGCCTCAGTGAACAGCACTAAGCAGCAAATCCATCACCCTGAGGAATTGTGTGAAGGTGTTACAGGAGAGTAAAACCAACCCGGGCAAAGGGAGGCACTGCCAGAGCCGTGGGAGGGGAGCAGGGGGACAGAGGCAGGGCTCCAGGAAAATCCAGCATTGGAGGAGTGTGCYCAGGAAAATGCTTTCCCTTGGAGGGCTGCTCCATTCTCCTCGTGGTGGCCTTGCTCAGCTCTGCCCTGGCAGGTATTCCCTGCCTGGCATTCCCTGCCTCTGGCACCAGGTACTGCCTTCCCAAAACCCTGCCTCCCCTCCAGGCTTACTCTGGGGGAAAGGAAAAAAACCAGGCCTCAAAAGCTCTCTGCTGACAGCTCTAAAATCCTCCCTTGTACCTTTAGCCTTAGGGCTATCCCTGTCTTTAAATAAATACTTCTGCTGTGCCCAATTATGTTTACAGAAGCCCTGGGAGTTCCATGATTTCTGAGCACAGAGGGTTGAATTCGGCCCGATCTGTCTCACCCACTTTTCCCCTGCCCAAATTTGCACATCCTTTTCATAAYGTTCAATAAGCTCCTTCTGAAGCAGAAATATTGTTTGGGGCATAGTTTTGCAGTTCCCTTTTACCCAGCACACGATACTGCTGCTCMTCTTGGGAAATTAATGCAAGGCAGCTGTTCAAGGAGCAGATGGGAAAGGCCAAAGCAGAGATGAATCTATCATCAATATACCCATTTAATCAATGATTTATTTGTCTTTAATTGATACAGCTACAGAGACAATTTAGGAAACAAAGGTCAGGCCTGCATTAATAGGCTGGGCAAGGAAAAAACCTTGGAGAAGGTTCACCCTTCTCCTGAAATTCATTCAGTTCAGTACAGCAGTGAATTGCAGGTGCATCCGTGTTGTAGGGCCAGCCCCGGGCAGAAAGGTGCTGTGTAACTAATTAACTGTGTCCCAGCCAATTATCCTTCATCCTTTTCAGACATCTGCTGAGTAGCAGGAATGTGCAGCRTTTGGGTGTTTTATGCTTGCTGCAAGTCCCACAGCAATAAATTCCAAACTTAATGCCACGTGTTGTTCATTCCTGTTTCCGAGCCTTAATGTGAACCTCCTCTATCTCTGCATTTCAGAATCACAATCAAAKTGTGCATTGCAGATAAGGCTGGAAGGCAGTGTTTATGCTCCAATGCCATCTGAGGAACGAGAATGGTATTTAGATGCAGTGATAGGGAGCAGCCAGCTTCTCAGGCAGGTTAAATCATCAGCACACAAAACCATCAGCCTCATCAGGAGACCTGCAGACCAACACTTCACCCTGTGTGCTGGACAGGCTGAACTAAAGTTACCCAGTGCAGGTAAAGCACAATGCCAAAAACTTCCTGCTTTGAGCCACTTCCAAGGCAGATTTGTGGGGAAAAAAATGAATCCCCAGAGTTTACACAGGAGATTAAAGCTGTTTCCCACTCTGTCCTCAGAATTCCACTCATCCTGAGATGTGTGCAGCAGTGATTGTTGGCTGACACTGATGTTGCAGCAGCCAGATGTTTCTGTAGTGAAGTCTTTTAAAAGATATGATCTTCTACAGGTTTGACCCTCAGAAAGGCTTCTGGTGCCAACTATTGGAAGGAGGGAAAACAAAGTGCCTGGGGAAAAGCAAAGGTCGGAAATACCCACCAATGGACCAAGAGGTAAGGGCTTTCCAGAAATCAAGGGGAGCAATTTCAACATTGACCCTAAATAAACACCCATTTTTCTTTTTCTCTATTTGTTGTATTTTCACTGTGTTGGTATTTAAAAACCAGAAAACTGAGGTTAARTGAGAGGGGATGAATGCCCCTGTGAGAGCCCCTGGAGCAGCGCACTGATGGCTGTTGGCTGCGTTTGCTCTCACCCTGATCTCGGTTTGTTTTTCCCTCCTCAGTCTCGGGCGTTTCTGTCGAGCTACTACCGAGAGCACAACGTGGAGCTGTCCAAGCTGCTGCACAGGCTGGGCCAGCCGCTGCCCTCGTGGCTGAGGCAGGAGCTGCAGAAGGTCAGGTAGCACTGTGGACAGGGGACCCTGGCCAGGCCCATTCCTGCCCCCTCGGACCCCCCGCTCCTCCGGCTCACTCGGGATCGTCAGGACAGGACCTCATGGACCATGCCCTTCCCAGCAAAACCAACACCAGACCATGAACAAACCAAACCAGCCCCAACCCTAAAGCCACCCACCGTTGGTATGCACGTGCTGAGAGCTCAGCACCATCCACCCCCTTTGTCAGCTCCCAGGRAAGCTCGTGGAGCTCCGTGGCGTTCCCCGTTCTCCTGCCCCGGATCCGTGCGGAGCCTCGGCCCTCCCTKCACCAGAAGCAGCAGAACTGTGAGTAGGATGGATTGACCTCGGACTGAGGACCGACTGCAGTCTGTCAGGACACGGCAGAGGATGGGAATGTCTCTCGCTGGACTGGGAGGTTGGTCAGCCACAGGGCTTTTCCCACATCTGTTTGCAAATCCTTCCCAATTCCAGGCAGTGCACTGCCAATGGCCTGGTGTTGTCAGGTTTGTTCTAAATGGGARGCAGCACTGGTGCTGTGAACCTTCAGACACTGGGTGAGTCATTTAGGGCATCAGTCTGCAAGCTGTTGCAGGAAAAKAACTTTCATGACCTTTTTTAAGTSTTAGGACACAAACTACAATTTGCTRAAGCATAAACTCTTYCTGTAGGCTTTTTTGGAAASAAYAAACACGGCCATTGTATATCATATTCACATGTATAAAAATATGGATTTTTATTCCTGAATACATACCTAGTATATCTCCAGATCAGACACACACTTAGTTTTAAATATCTGCTTTTTGTGCCCACAGGGAAATGAAAGGGTTGTTTACCAAAAATATTACATGAACTGTGCTTGGTTCCCAGAGCTGTGGGGTCAAGGCCAGCAAGGCTGGGCAGAAATTTGTTATTTGTCCTGGAGAACAAATGGAGGCTGTTCCTCAAAATTTGGCAGTGGCAAATACACGTGTTTGTACCTAACATACAAACTGACACTCCCTTATCTTATAGCACTGATAACACCACAGATGAGTAGAGTGATGAGAACTTTGGGTGAGGAAAGCTTGGTCAAAGAATATCTAAACTAACCATTTGATAGAATTACAGCTGTTAAAATACATTAGAATTTGCTCAGCTTTAATTAAAAGAGGACTTCCTAACTTCTTGATTAAAAGCTAGACAAACATGACATTGGTTTSAGGAGTTTCCCAAGGAAATGAGACAARCACTATAAAATCCAGAAAAYTATTTCTTGTTCTTAGCTTTTCATTTAGAAAGAAAATTCCAGCTCTCAGCTCTGTAATGGCACCACATCCTTAAAACACACCAGATATTTTTCTATCTCACTGTTATTTTTTAAATTTCAATGGGCCTCACATTTTYGAGATCTCATGTTCCTTTGAAAAGTGCCATTTGAATTGAGTTCATTATGTATCACAAAGATGAAACAGCAGCATTTCCAAGTTTCATTCCCCCCACTTGTAAGAGGAGCCATCAGCACAGCATTTCCCTGGCCCACCTGTGACAGAGCAGCCTTTGTGAATGGCCTGTAAATGATCTGTTCCTTTTACACTGACCATGGAATTGCTGGGATTCTTACACACCAGCAAAAATGAAACATTTATTCCTGGCAAGGGGGCTGTGGCTGGGAAGGATGGAGCTGGTCCTTCTTTCCTGTGTCCTTCACATGCTGTAAATCAGTAAAAGTTTTACACACCTCCTCCCATTGCCCTGGAAATGTGGATTCCAGGAGCTGAGGATGTGACCCTGTGGGCCAGACATGGAGTCAGGGTCCATGGCAGCACATTTGATGATTCCAGCGTGGCTTTGGCCCTCAGAAAGCTYAGCTCAAATAACTGAGCTTGTCTTTGAGTGAGAAGCAATCAGAACGGAATCAAAAACCCTCTAAATTATGCATTGACCTCTCAAGGTCTAAAATAAAGTTGCAGGATTAACTGTTCCGAGATGTCTCCTAATAAAACAAATTTCCTCTCAGATAGGGGARCAGGCTGCCAAGTGTCCCCCAAACAAATTTAAATGGTGGAATTAGAAATTCTTGGGGGAGGAAATGGTTGTGTAATGAAAGGGCTGGTGGACCCAGACTCTCTGATGTGATAATAAGGCAGTGGGGATGTGCCCTGAATACAGCAGGAGTTGGGTGTTTTCCCCTCTTTCTTCCCCCTCCTCCTTTCCCTTCCCATTTTGAGCCTGGGASATGGGGGATCTTTCATCCCCGAGGATAAACGGGGTGTGGGGAGCTCATTTCCCCTCTGCTGAGGCACCAGAAAGGGAGACATCAGCCAGTCATTCAGTTCCCAGCAGCAGGGAATTACATTTCTAATGGGCTTAAAATGGATTTTTCTAATAGTGTGACTTCTGTGTCAAACAGGCTCAGCACAGGTATTTAAACCAGCAGTGACCACCTGTCTGAGTTTATCCTACTTAACTATGGCTAAATTTGGGGTTTCTTTCACTTAACTCTGTGTTCACAGGACAGGAATTTCCCTGTCAGACAACATTCCTTACACTGTCTCCATTTCTCTTTCTGTCCCTCCAGTTCATCCTTTTAGTGTGACTGCAAAGGTGTGGACCTGCCCACGGACTCGACTCCTCCATCGCTCTCCTCTCTGGAAAAGCTGCCAAAAACAAACAAGGATTTGCAAGTGACACAGATTCACAAGTGTTCAGTGCTCCAGTGACTGGATAACTTTTATAAGACTTATTATCATTTCTGATAACAAAAAACATCCTGTTGACAGAGCTGAGGAAAAACTTCACTGTCTTGCCCAAGCTCTTTTTAATTTTTTTTTTCTTTCCCCTCCTACATGATGACAGCAAATCCAGTTGAACAAATACTTGTTGTTGAAGCAGAAGGAATCAAAATAAATTTTGATCACTCAAAGTATTTTTGTTGGGGGGGTGGTGAGGGARGTCAAGGGCTGTATTTGCTGGAATTGTTTTAAATAATTGATGTGCACACACCTGATTATTGGTTCTTCTCACTGCCGCAGAATAAACACTTCTGATGGTGTATTCTAGAGAGAGCTTTTTTCCTTTCCTTAAATCCTCTTTCCTATTTCCTGAGGCAAAGTCTGCTCTTCAGCAACCTCTGCCATGTATTTCAAATTGTGCACCTTTACAGTTTCTSCTTCCTCAGCATCAACCCAAGGCCTCCACCCGCCCTCGGTACAGCGATCCCAATGATATGGGATCTACTGGGAGTGACCTCCTCCTCCTCCTCTTCCTGCCAGGCAGGGAACATGGAATGGGCAGGTATAAACACTTCAGTATTTGTTACACACATTTCTGGGCCTGCTCTCCCCAAGCTTTGCCTCCTGCACCACCAGGAGTGGGACCTGCAGCAGCCCCAAAAAAGCTCTTGCCCTAATTCAAAATAATTCCCCTCTGCTCCATTTGAGGAATCTTAAAAGGTCCTGATTTCAGCTGCTGCAAATTCCTCAAATATGCACTCACAAGTACCAGGCAGATTTTTTCTCCCCACTACAACCTCATAATGCTTCTATTTTTTATTATAAAATATTCATTTGTTTTACTGATCTGTGTCAGAATGAGGTTAAATCATATCARAGTCAAGGATTCTTTCTACAAACCTTACAGAATAGCAAATTCCACTTTTTTAGACTCCTATCATCAAGTAAATTAGAAATGACATTKCAGATATCTCAATACAAGTTTTGGCATTGTCTTCCAGCTCTGTCTGTGCCTGTAGACAAGGGAGACATAGTAGGTAACATTCTCTAAGTATTTTAGGAGTTTAAGTCTGATGTAAAAAAAAAAAAAAACCGAAAAAACAAGCAACAATATGTAGGCACTTAGAAACTAAAAATCAACTGTTTTTCCATCAGGCTTTCCATGCCCTCTTCCTCAGTCTTGTTTAGTGAAACAAGAGCAGAGTTCTTCCAAAACTTTACTACTTCCACCAGATTCATTAATCAGACTATTCCCTCCCAGAAGGTGAAAACTTGAAAGCACCCAACAAACTTGTGAGGTGAATCTGTTTGTGTAAAGAGATTTTGCTCCTTGCAGTCTGTGGGAGGAGAGAACTTTTTTGCCTGGCCTGTAAATATCCAAATTCCAGTTAGAAACTGATTTATAGAACAGCARAAATTAATTCTGCCTATAATTTATACTCCTATTTCTGCTCATAAGGAATTAAAAGCAGATTGATATTTGCATTTCAGTCAGCTGCAGCTGGTGGTTGGGGACAAAAACATTGAAAATATCTCAATAAACCTCTGTGTGGGGTTTTATTGAGCACTTTGGGTTCACAGAGCTGTTTGTCCTGTGCAGCCCCCTCTGGCCAAACTCAGGCCAGTTTTATAGCGATCCTATTTTCTTTGGGAATGGGAATGTGACACSTTAATACCCAAATCTGCCTCCATCACAGAAGGTCAGCGAGGTTTATGAGCTGCTAGTTAGAGTCATCCTGGGGTTTTTCAGAGGTTTRTTTTATTTATTTATTTAWTTTYCAGAGGTTATTTTCAGCCAGGGGAAGGTCAGCAGTGGGTGGAGTGGGATTTCTCAGCCTAAGCCGCAATTCCATAAAATTCTGTGGGGGTTGCAAAGTGTGGTTTATAATTTGGGAGATAATTGTGTGCCATTCAATTGACTTTGTACTTRCTCCTTCTCAGAGTCTGGTGGATGCTCTGCTGTCTTGCAGAACTTATCTGTAACACACATTCCCTGTTGGGTAATTTAACTTCCCTTCAGAGGATGAGCTGGATGGGTTTTTACAGAACTTGCTCTGAGGCAGATATTTATTTACAGAGTTGTTCTTTAATTCTGCGTGTGTGTCACTGTGTTTGCCTTGGCCAGGGAATCWTCTCCCTATTAAATCTGCACACAATTCCCATCAGCATTGGTGACAATTAAATATTCTGGTGAAGGAGAGAATAAAGCCACCAACAGAAAATGTTATTTAATGACATTGTAGCTGCAGCACATCTTCCTGCAGAGCTTTGTGTAATCGCACCAAGTAAGCAAAGAGAAATTGTTCTGCAACGTGAAGCATTTAAAAATTCATAAGCAATCTTAGCTTAAAAAAAGAAAAAAAAAAAAGAGGGAAAACCACCTTTTGGGTACCTTTTGATTTTAGGATAGTTTTCTGTCTTAGATATTGGCTGCATGCTTCCCCTCTGTGCTTTCCTACTCATCCACCCTCTTTGGGGCTACTTCTCATCATCACCATCTATTCATTCACCTGCACATTTCAATCCCAAATGAATTTCATCCTTGGCTAAATTCTGCTCCTTGCTTCCAAAAAGGAAAAATGCAAATCTCCCAAGGAAGCATCACCTTTTATTTCTTAAACTGCATACGCTTCAATTACTTTTAAGTTATCCCAGTTAATTAAGACGTGTTCCAGGACTGTGCTGAAGATCTCTGATATCTCCAGCCTTCCTGCATTTTTCCCACAGTTTTCCAAAGCCCAGAACCCCTGCAGGAAGCTCCTCAGTCATAAAGCACAGCAGAGCTGGATGGCACCGYGTGTAAATCTGCCGTCATTAGGGTGGGAGCTGCAGTTAAATTATAAATTGTCATCCTAAGTAGGAAGAACATTTTTATGGATCCTGGCTCACCCTCTGCAGACTTCAGCTATTTCCAGTAACTGCCACACAGAGCACACTAAAATTTGTCAGCTGCTTGGAAAAGGAGAGTTGAGCCTGGAGACTTAACTCCCTTCAATCTTCTTAAAAGATACGATCTGATACCTGGGGATGAAAGCCTAGGAGGGCACGGGGAGGTGATCCAAAGCAGCCAGGACAATCAGAAAGGACAAGCACCTCAGCACAACACTAAAACTCATTTCTCCAAAGGTCACACACACGCCTGGGAAGCCACTTCTCCCATTTCCCTGTCAGAAATGTGGCAGGGGAAGGAACACTTGGAGGCTTGCCTGGGTTGCTGTGGGAAGGTGTCGTGGCAGGGCTTTAACACAGACCACGTTGTCACATCCTTTCTAAAGCCCAGCTCATGACAAGCAATTTTTTCCTCCTCCCACGTGGGACAAGTGGAGACACAAAAATTTGACAGACGTTTTATATTGGTGACATCCTGCAATGGTGTTTTGGCTCTGGTGTGCAGAACAGCTGTAGAAMTGAGGATTTTTACTGCCACAGGAGCCTGAAGTTTTTAGTGGGGATCCTAAATCACCATTTCTGTAGTGCTGCAGATCCTTTTTTCCCAAATAGCTCTGTATTTTCATAAAGCCCAAATGCTTTTACTTAAGGCTTGGCACACTCACGGATCAGAGCCAACCACTCATCAGGGAACGAGGTGAATTGTGCAGGGTGAGTGGGCTCAGAACAGAGGCAGGAATCAGGGAAATTTGTAAATGAGGATGCTTGTTTATAKGGAAATCCCTAAGGAAGGGAATTGTGTATCCTTTCGGAAATCTTGGCTGTGTTTAGAACATTTACACAAAGACTTCACTGCTTTTACAGCTCCAACTTGTCTGAAAACTGCAGCTCTTAGCAACTGTCAGAAAAGCACAGTCTGGGCAAACAACTCCTCACCCTTCCTCAGTCAGGTGCTGACACCCTGCATGGGGACCTGCCCAGGATATTCCCATCCATGTTCCTTTGCAAATATCATTTTTATCCCCCCTTAGACAGACCACCCTGCAGAACTGAAGCATTCACCAACAGCCCTGCTCTGCCTGGATTTTTTTCCATAAAATATGATTTGAGTGCTAAATTAGAAATATCCTTTGCACACTTGACTTTGCCACGGACCTATTTAACACTGGCACATTAAAYGCATTTTTATTCTACACATTAAAGAATAATAATTCTGGACACTTCACAGTGACACAATGAAGACATTATAAAATTGATAATGTACAATAAAACTACTTTCATAGGTGYCCTACCTTGAGTACATCCATTTTCTGATTTCCTTCCAGTGTTAAGTTTTGCACTTTTGCCCCTTCAATCACAGAGCTTAGTGCCCATTTAAAATGATTGTTTTGCCCACAGATAATTCCATTTCATTTTGGCTGCCTTTTCCAATTACCACCTGTTGATGAATGACCTTAATCATGTATTTCTTTCTATGTAATAATTTTTTTCTTTCTATGTTTTAGGAAAACCCTGCAGTTCCCTGTGCCCACATTACAGGGGCATTCCCATAAGGCAGGGGCTGAGTACTGCAGGAAATCCTTCTCACCCCTGAGAGGAAAGCTTGGAGATGCAGTTTGGCTCAGTCACTGCCTTTGCTGCACTGCTGAGAATCATCACTGCAGTCAGAGCTGTGCTGATGGAGAGGACACTGTAAAGTCAGGGAGAAATTATTGAAAACAGGGAACAGGAAATGAGTAACACATCCCTGGAAGTSAAAGCACTTCTTTGGAGATGGGATTTTGTCTATGGAAAAGAAAGTCTGGATTCCTAGCAAACCACTTGAGGAAAACCAAGCCCACAAGATGCTMTTTWGGGTCCYTTCCATGCCAAACCAGACCATGAACCTATGACCTGCCATATAAAATCCAGCTGACCAAACTGACACCCGTGGCATTTCCCAAATTAAAAAGCACATTCCAGKCTCTCCTCACAGCACACAGGTCTCATGAACTTTGTCAGAGGGTTCAGCTTGTGTCTAATTTAAGAGGCGGCTGCGATGAATTATTTTAGCAAGTGAGAGGAGGAGAAAATTGGCAGCGGCGTGAAGAACGAGGGAATTCAGTGGCACAGGGATTGGATCTCCTATCTCAGGCTTCTGCAGGGCCTGGAGCCCAGGAGCAATCACCAGGTTTAAATACTCGGTGTTGATAAATGTTGGAGGAGTGCTGGAGGTGCTTCCAGCCACGAGGGAACTGCTGGAGGCCAAACCAGCCTGGCACGGCTTCACCAGGAATTCCCACTGCTCCAGGAGCTCCCGGGCTCCATCACAGCATCACCACGGACAGGGACAGTCCTGGCAGTGCTGACCCATCTGACAGCTCACAGAGGGGTGTTTTTTTGGCTGCAGACTCCCTGGAAAAGCC